GGATGGGTTAGCCTGGTGATGGGTATTAAAGATGGCACGTTCTGCATGGAGCACTGGGTGTTATATGCAAACAATGAATCACAGATCACTACATCAAAAACTAATGATATAATGTATGGTGATTAACATAACATAATAAAAAAAAGAGGATTTCTAATATTTGCCATTCAAAGAGCTTTAACTGAGATGAAGAGAAAAAAAAAAACAAACAAAAAACGAATAATGTACTACATGTTGGCCAACTGAATATAATAATAAAATAAATAAATAAATAAATAAATAAATAAATAAAATAAAATAATGAATTTTATCAACTTTATAGCAACTCATTATTAGATATTGATAGTAATTTATTCTTTTTTTAAATAGACCTTTTTAAAAAGTTTTATTTATTTTTTTTAGTAATCTTTACACCCAATGTGGGGCTTGAACTCACAACCCCAAGATCAAGAGTCACATGCTCTTCTGACTGAGCCAGTCATGTACCCTGATAGTAATTTATATTTAAAAAGAAAATAACACAGGAGTGCCTGGGTGGCTCGGTTAAGTGCCTGCCTTTGGCTCAGGTCATGATCCCAGAATCCTGGGATTGAGCCCCACATCGGGCTCCCCGCTCAGTGGGGAGTCTGCCTCTCCCCCTCCCTCTGTTCCTCCCCCCACTCATGCTCTCTCTCTCACTCTCTCTCCCGCTCTCTCTCAAATAAATAAATAAAATCTTAAAAAAAAAAAAAAGAACACAGAAGGAAAGAGGAAGGAAGGGAGGGAGGAGGGAGGGAGGGAAGGAGGGAGGGAGAGAGGGAGAGAGAGAGAGAGGGAGGGAGGTAGGAATCCTTACAGAATAAGTTCCTGTGTACCTCTTTCCCAGATCCATTCTGACCCCTCTCCATTGCTGCCCCAGGATCTGTAAGTGGGCACAGTGAGTGACCCCATGCTGGGGCAATGTTCCTACTTTCAGAACATAGATGGAGCTTCTGCTTCCTTCCCACCCTCCTTCAGTAGAACACAGTGAGTCTTAGAAGAGTCCTATGCAAGTGAAGGGGCACTGAAACCAAAGCCTCATTAACTTTATCATAAAAACTCCCTAGTGTGTGTTAAAGAACCCCTGAAAATCTCAGTAATTGATGGCATCAAGTGCCTCTGAAATTAGGAGTGTAGGTGGGACTGAAAACCTAGATTGAAAGTATCTATATAGAGCATTTAGACATGAATATTTGCAACAGGGATGAACAAATAAGCCAATATAATAAAACACAAACGCCCATGCAAATGTGAAAGACTATGGCTGTGGCTATTACATTGTGGATCTGTAGGGAAAGACTTCCACAAATGATGCTGGAGAGAGTTGATGTCCGCATGAGAACACCGCAATTGTAGCTCTATGGCATATATGTATGGCAAGCATATACAAACATAATTCCCAGGTAGTTTGAAGACCAAAAGTTAAAGGGAAAACCATAGTATATCTTCGTGAAATCAAGACAAGAAAGGAGTTCTTAATCAAGATACAGAAAATACTGATCATAAAGGAAAAGGTTGATAAATGTGACTGTATTAAAATTAACTTTACCTAAGAAAACATCAGAAAAACCCAAACTAGAGAGAAACTGAGAACAGACTGGAGGAGCCTAAGGAGACATCATGACAAAATGCAGTATGTATCCTGGATTGGAGCTTGGAAACTAAAAAGGCCATGAGGGGAAAAACTGGTGAAATCAAAATAAAATCTGTGGTTTAGTTATAGTCTTTAACCAGTTATAGTCGTTAACCACTGATAATTTCCTAGTTTTGACAAATGTACCATGGTTAAGATATCAACATTAGGGGAAGGTGGGTACAGCATATATGGGAACTCTCTATAATATGTTTGCACCTGTTCTGTAAATCAAATACCATTCCAAAATAGAAAGTGTTTGAAAATTTGAGGAAAAAATGTTCTCCATTATAGTGAGAGCGCCTGACAATAACCTTTTTTTCCATGTCAAAGACATCCAACTCAAATAAACCTGTTGCCAGTCTTGACGTGGTCACTAGCTAAACAACTAGGTAAAGAGCCAGGCCACCCCTTCCATGAAATTCCCCTTTTAAAGAAAGGCCTGGGTAACCTACATTACCGACCACTTGAGTGACCCTGCGTTTTCCTTCCTGTGCTTTCATTCTTGCTCTTGGGTTTTAAATTGTGAAACCCTAGGCCCCCCACCCCGATAAGGGCAGAACCCCCAAAGTCCCCCCTTCTCTCTCCCTACATAGGACCTCACTCTGTGACCCTGCGCTTATCTTGTACCCTCCAGGACTTGTGAGAAATAAACCTTGTTTTTTCAAAGTTCTCTGATGGTTGTTGCTGAGATGCATCTTGCAAGTGTAATAAGAACCACCAGGGTTGGTCCAGCCAACATTGGCTCTGGTAGGGGAAATGTCTGTGGGGGTCTCACCACAACTAGCAGGGTTCAGGTGAGTCCCAGGCATTCCCAGCCAATAGGATTACTATCAAAGCCTGAGAACAACAAAAACAGCCCTGTATTATGCCATACACAAAAATTAATTCAAATGGATAACCAACTTAATGTGAAAGTTAAAACAATAAAGCAACTAGAAGAAAACATAGGAGCATATATATATATATATTTTAAAGATTTTATTTATTTATTTGAGAGAGAGAGACAGAGAGAGAGCATTAGAAGGGGGAGGGTCGGGAAGGTCAGAGGGAGAAGCAGACTCCCTGCAGCAGGGAGCCCGATGCGGGACTCGATCCAGGGACTCCAGGATCGTGACCTGAGCCGAAGGCAGTCGCTTAACCAACTGAGCCACTCAGGCGCCCCATAGGAGCATATTTTCACTACTTTGAGGAGGCAACGATTTCTGAAATGTAATACAAAAGCACGAACCATAAAAAATCTGGATAAATTGTATTTCTTTGGATTTGAGTTGCTAGTTTCCAACTCAGTAGAATATTTTAAGTGATATTTTTCATAATTTATCTTGCTTTAATTATTTAAATTGCCATAATTTTAGATATTCCAAACTAGAAAGTTTTCTCTTGACTCCATCTGCTATGTTTCTTAAAACTTAGGTCAATATTCAGAACTTATTTTTAATGATTATATAAACATTATTTGAAGCTGAGGCATGTATGATTACCCTTCCTTTTTTGAATTTACCTGAGGCCATTTATTATTCTGAGAATTTTCACTGGGTGGAGAGACCAGAAAAGAGAAAGTTTTGTTTTCTAATCCTACAATCTTAGCACTATACTAAAGGCCATGAGGCAAAATAAGAGAGACCTTGCAGATAGTGGTAGCTGACCATGCTACCTCTAACCTTTTCTGCATAACTGACCCCTCATAAAGCAAGCCCCAGACATCAATCACTGTTCTTGCAATGCCCCAAGACCTTCTTGCCTACAACCTGAAAAGCAAGTTCCCTCTTCTCTGATAACCCTGAAGACTCTGGTTCTCATCTTGCACTGGGCTCTATGCTGTTTCCTGATCTCAACAAGTTTCATTCCCCCTCGTGAGGAAGTCCTCTTCTCTCCTATAATTCACAGAACCCCGTCAGGGAGAGGACAGGCGGATGATTTCACTTGCTTTTACACCACTTAAATACAACTCAAGAAGTACATCTAATATTTGGTTGGCTTACTAGCATGTTTGGACAAACTACAGCCAGGATAATTTAAGTAGTATGTGTTCCACCAAAATGTACGACAATGAACTTAGTCATTTCTTATTTGCTTCACAGATATATTGACCACTACTTGAAGAAATTTGTATTATCTGCAGATGAGTTTTTTATGGTTGGCCATAAAGTCATAATTTATGTCCTGATAGATGACTTCTCCAGGATGCCTTGGATACAGCTGGGTCCCCTCCGTTCGATCAAAGTGTTTGAAATTAAGCGAGAGAAGAGATGGCAAGATATCAGTATGATGCGCATGAAGGTTATTAGTGAACATGTTATGGATCATATCCAATATGAAGTTGACTTTCTCTTCTGCATGGACGTGGATCAAATCTTCATAAGGAAATATGGATTGGAGACTCTGGGGGAGTCAGTAGCTCAGTTACATGCTTATTGGTACAAGGAAGATCCTACAGTGGTGCCATATGAAAGAAGTGAGTTATCAGAAGCATATATACCTTTTGGTATGGGAGATTTTTATTACCATGCTGCTGTATTTGGTGGCACTCCCATTCAAGTTCTCAATATTGCCAGGGAGTGCTTAAAAGGAATCATGAATGACAAGAAAAACAACATCGAAGCAGTGTGGCATGATGAAAGTCACTTAAACAAGTACTTCTTTCTCCATAAACCCACTAAACTCTTATCACCAGAATATTGCTGGGATTTTACTAAAACAGATGTTCCTTTTATTTACAGTATCAAACTCTTTTGGGCTAAAAAGGATTATGAACATCTTAGGGTGACAATGTAATTATATAGCACTTCCTTCAGGTTGCTGAAGTTAAGAGCATCATTTTGTCTTATTCCTTAGGAAATTAGCACTTGATAAATTTTACCACTAAAAAAAAGAATCACTAACAAAATGGCAAGGCCACCAACACAGCATACTCATACTTTTCCTCATATTCATTTTGAATTGTATAAGATGGGATATAGCAGTTGCAGAATGAATGTATTGACATCAGATGGAGATACAGTGATTTCATATCCTGTGTGAGTGTTGAGGAAATATTATTTGTTGGATCACAATGAACAAAATAGAATCTCTCACAAGAAAATGAAACCTGAAATATTTTTATTGATCCATGTAGATACACATTTCTCATATTGCATAAGAAAGGGGATTGTCTAGAGGTGTGGATAAGAAGTCACTGCAAGAATAGTAATATTCTCTCTATGTAAAACATTAAAGACGTTAAAGTTGCCACCAGATGGACAGATAATTACTTAGGAAACTGAGTCATTCAAAAAAATTTTTGCATTTGTAGTTTTAAAACTTTGTAAAGTTGTTTGTTGTAAAAATTAATTGAAAAGAAAATAAACAAGATACAGAGAAAATTTAAAGCCCCCCCTTTACTCTCCCTTTGAAAACCTACCCTTCAATAATCCTTTCATATACATTTACATACCTACCACATGAATACACACACACACAGACACACACTCACATGCTTATTTAATATTTTATACAAACTGATTTATACCACACACATGCACACATACATGCACACACAGAGATTTTATCACTAGTCAGGGTCCAGTTAGGAAAACAGATACTACTATTCTTGGTATTTTAAACAGTGGGGATTTAACGCAGGGAACTGGACATATAAAAGAGGAAAACAGATACTACTATTCTCGGTATTTTAAACAGTAGGGATTTAACGCAGGGAACTGGACATATAAAATGAGGAGTACACAAGAGAGAGTGGAGCAACCCATAATTTTTTCTTTTAAATGAAGGCAATAGCACTCCTAAGGCTGAAGGAAAAATGGTAGAATGTCCAGAAATCACTAGAACCTAGCATGAGTAGCCAGGCATGAGTGGGGACAATAAAGAGAGGAGTCCCAGTCACTGCTAAAGATGGAGGCAGAGACAGACACAAGAGAGAAACATACAGACTTTTCTCCTTCTCCTATCCTGTCTTCCTGTTTTCCACTGTCCAGTGCTATCCACTAGTCAGAATCAAGGGATTCTGGGAGACAGAGGTCCCTGCCATACTGAGCAGAGCGCAGGAAAAATGAGAGAGAAACCTGACAGTAAACAGACAAATGGCTACCACAGTTCACCCATTTTGCCACGAAGCATCCATACTCCTCCTTCCACCCATGCCTAACTCCCATAAAACAATGTCATGTTTCTACCTCGCAGAATTCAACCAACTTTTGTATAAATAATCACTTTCTTCCCAAAAGGGTGAAACACAAAGTACCACCCGACATCGTTTCCCTCATCATGTCCAGGAACCCAAGATGATATGAGGTCCTCTCCCTCAGGACTGTATGTGGCTCTTCAGTTTGATGAACTCTGATCTAAATTGTAAAGAAAAGAATAACTAACACTCCTCCTTAAAAAAAAAAAAAAAAGTAGGAGGAGAAGGAAAAAAGGAAAATAATTGGTTAGCATATAAAAAGCTATATATATATCATATATATATATACACACAGACTTATGTTTATAATATAAATATACATGCCTGCTATAGTCCTCATTCCTGTAGCCAGTTCTAAAGTCAAGTTCATATTGATCACTTCTTTCTTCCACCACCAGTTTTATGTTCCTCACCCTCTGCTAGAAGGTCAGCTGAACAGGGTTCTTTACTAGTGAGATGACATAAACATTTTCTCTGTGGGATCTGAGTCTTTATTCATTGGATTGCCATGGTTTTCCCCTAACAAGGACTGTTGGATAAAGTAGTTTAAGAGGCTCCCAGGGAACACCTTGAATTCTAAATACAGCCCTCATTCTACTATTGTGTAATAGGAGCCTGCTTTCATCTTGATAATTGTGATAAGTTCCCTTATCCAGTACAGAGACCCCTTCTCTGGCTGTTGATTCAGCATGATGAGAAGGCAAAATGGCCAGGGAAAGTCTCAGATCCTAATTCAACAGGACCATCACTTTATTTCCTAGTGCACTAGGACCTCCAAACTCACTGAGCCCAGGGTTGCAGAGAAGGAAGTGAATATTGCTTCGGTAGATTATTTGGTGTGATTGTAAAAGAAAGCCTCACATCTCTACTTCCTAGTTCCAGGATCTATGCATTCTGGCTTTGAGGAAGACAATATGATATAGCGACCACTATTTTAAGATATATCCCATACCTTTAGGACAGCACCCCAATGTCACCAAATGTTGTCTTATAGCTGATACTGTAACTGAGTCTTCTTTAGACCATTTCATAAAGTTAGCTGCTTCTGCGTCATGAGTTACATGGTAAGACCAGTGAATTCCATGGATAGGAACACTTACTTGACAATAAAATCTATCTCCTTGTCAGAGGCAATGAATAAAACATTCCGTAAGTCTACAAGTGGTGGTGCTCGCAGAGGCACTATGGAAAAGAAAGGTATATCTGTACCCAGAATATATTTTGTTTGGGGACAAATCTCTTCTCCTTCCCTGATGGAAAAGATCCAAGGTAATCAATATGCCACCAGCGGCCAGACAGTCCCTCAGAAGAAAAGAGTCATACGATGCACTCAGGATGGCCTCTGCTGTTGGGTGGTTGTGCCTTTAGCAGCAGAGAAAGTCAAATCATCATTGATGAGAGGGAAGTCTATCTTACTGAGCCACCAGATAGCCTCCATCCCTGCCACCAAGGCCACTTTGTACATGGGTCATCAAGAAAGCACTGTGGTGGCCGCAAAAAGAGGCTGGCTGACATCAAAGAAGTTTTTCTCTACTTGATTACTAAGAGCCTCCTCTACTAAGATTGCTCTTTGGTGAGTATTTTCATGGGACACGCACATCCTTACACTCTGTACCTATTTCATAAGCCCATAAAGGACCTCAGACTTTCTTGTCACCAATTTTTCTTTCTCTCTTTTTTTTTTAAAGATTTTTTATTTATTGGGCGCCTGGGTGGCTCAGTTGGTTAAGCGACTGCCTTCGGCTCAGGTCATGATCCTGGAGTCCCGGGATCGAGTCCCGCATCGGGCTCCCTGCTCGGCGGGGAGTCTGCTTCTCCCTCTCCCACTCCCCGTTTTGTGTTCCCTCTCTCACTGTGTCTTTCTCTGTCAAATGAATAAATAAAATCTTTAAAAAAAAAAAAAGATTTTTTATTTATTTATTTGAGAGAGAGAATGAGATAGAGAGAGAGAGCACGAGAGGGGGGAGGGTCAGAGGGAGAAGCAGACTCCCCGCCGAGCAGGGAGCCCGACGCAGGACTCGATCCCGGGACCCCAGGATCATGACCCGAGCCGAAGGCAGTCGCCCAACCAACTGAGCCACCCAGGCGCCCTCTTGTCACCAATTTTTCAATCACCAAGTCCAATCTCATAGAAATGACTTCCACTGATAATGGATTACAGCTGCATATATCCAAGCTTTTAGCTTGTTGGATCAGAAAGCATTAAGTTCATGGTGTGTAGGAGAAGTCATAGTTCAAGTAAATTTAGAATCCCATGTGTCCAGTATTCATTCTCTACCTGGCTATGAAAAGTGCTCTATTTAGTATCTATACCTGCCACTTTAACGGGCTAAGGGGCACAGATCCTTGCTCTGCGGACTGTCTTACACAGAGCCTTGTCTTGTTCTGGGTCTCCCTCAAATTGGTTTCTCAACACACAGGTCAGAGTGGCACTCATGTACAATATATGTTGTCTCCTATGTCCAAAAAGTCCCTCTGAGCTTTATGCATACTCTGATTTGCTGGTAAATGGTGCAAGGTACAAGAACTGCCTAGAGCCAATAACCCTACATGCTCCACAGAAATGTCACTGATGTGTCAGGCCCCTGAATTTTTCTTCCACCTCCTGGCATACATTTGTATTAGCATGACATCTGGGATTCTTGCTCCTTTCTGCTCAAAATGCTCAGCACGGCGTGAACAACGGTAGTCTGTAAGATGTCTGGGTGGTCAAGGGCGCTGTGGATTACATTACGACAACGCAGAAGTTTGTGTAACTCTGAGATTTACTGACGTCTTTCAGGTAAAAGCAAACTGCTTTGGATAATCCATACTAACTGGTATAAGGAAAAGCATCTGTCACCTGCAGACCAAATACCAGGGACTGCTCTAGCAAAGATACAACACCAGAGCAGTAGCTGTAGTTGGAGTCACCACTTGATAAACTTTATGATGATTGCCACGCAGACTGCAAATGTCTCCATCTTTAATGCTGGCCAAACAAGCAAGGATATTAACAAATCTCAGGGAAGCGTACCTGCTTCAATAACTTCAGAACCTCAGTTCAATCCAATATTATATTCCATTCATCTTCATCTAATATCATTAGATATTAAACAAGGGTGTAATAGGAATCGACAACCTGCAGTGTTGGAGTTTTTAATGGCAGCACTAATCTTTACAATTGCCACAGGGAGCTGTTATTATTATATAACTTCTGATTTACTACTTTAGTATGAGAGCCTTTTCCATTGGCTTCAATTTGACCCTTCTTACCATGTTCATCCTTATACCATGAGTCAAAGACTGATGTAAGTATTCTACTAGTTGCTGAATATATATTTTTCAACCATGAATTCAGGAATTCAGAAACCACAGAGTGGCTCTTTTATATGATGGGACCACTGTGAGATAAACTCAGGGTAGAATTTAATTTATCCCCTATTCTCCATAAGCCTCTGTTTAGTAGATCACGATGCTATTTCTAGCCTCTAGAAATTGTCAGCTCAGAGCTAGTGTCCATTCTGCATTTTCCTCCAAGGACACAGTCATCCTACTAAGTGACCACAGGTCCTCCCTTGAGGTGACATAGACTCCTCTTCAGTCAAGAGACTCCAGGTCTATAAACTGACTTAGGTATGGGAACATGATGAGATACCATAACTTGTTACTGTGACAATTCAAGTCAGGTTTCTGCTCACCAGGGCTAGGGTTTCCCCAATAATGTAAATCCCATAGTTCTTATTGAAATCTGAGAATCCATTTCCCCCACACTGATTCATTTCTCAATGACTTAGTGAAAGAGAGAGTCCTAAGTCCTCCCCCCCCCACCCGCCCCCTGGAACATAGTTAGGGGGAAGGCAAATGGTGTGAACACGATAAATTCACTTCAGCATTTCTGTCTCCCTAAACATTTGGATTTCTTCTACATCATGCCAGAAAAGCTATGACATCTTAACCTCATTGATTGTAGGCTACCACTGAATTCAAATTTTAGTTAACATCCAAGAAAACTTTTAGAACCACTTACAGCTGACTAGGACAACATATTAAATCCAGAATATCAGGTAAATGTACCTGTTTCAAGAACTTCAGAACTTCAGCTCAATCCAATATTATATTCCATTCATCTCAATCTAATATCATTAAAATCCATTCTCACATGTGTTTCCCTACTAATACAAA